TACTCCATTGTACATATTTTAATCAATTATCTGTGAAAGAGGTGGTCATGTGCTAAAAAGAATGTCATATTCGTGACTAGGGCCCTGAATACCCTTTATAGGCAATGTTTCAGCAGAAAAACTCCTTGAAGTTTTGGTTAATTATCAACTCAATTGTGCCAGCATATCAAATCCGCTTGGCTCAACACTGTCTGGCGCAAGAGTTGCAGTCGATGGGACTATATGCCTGCTCAGACGCCGCCGAGCGTGGCAAGCAGTCCAGATGGTTCCTGCGAACAGGTCTGCTAGGGCGGGGCACGTCCTGCTGATGGGATAAATTTTTAGGTAATACAACCCCTCCCCCCTCTCCCGACAACGCAATTACAGGCCTCCCCCATTGGAACTTTCCCAACGATGCGAATAGCGCCTGTGAAACAGGAAAAATCAACCATAAAAAATTTCTCTTGGACAAGATACGACCCCCCCCCTCCTTCGTAAAACGAACGAATACGACCCCCTCCTGAGGACTTCCCAACATAGTGATCCATTTTGCAGACTTATGCACCAAGTTTTTGAACTACTCCCGTCAGCTGGAGGTGATCTCAATGAGTGTGGGAGTATTCTACGACTCTGTCAATTCCAACCATAGTTCGCCGTGAGTAAGCTGGTTCAGTAAGCCTCCCGTCGAACCCAATAGGGCAATCGATGGGATGCTTTTCATTTTGGTCGAAAATAGACTCTTTTACTCTGCAGAGCGTCTCAGGCCTTCTTGAGAAACGTGGCTTTCTGGTCATTTATTGAAGTAGCCTCGGAGCTTCTGGCTTTCACTTTCGGGCGAAAAACTGCGAAATGTGGGAAATGTTGTGGGAGGGGGAGGGACCGGTCGTTTCGAGACCCTTATTTAGGTGGGGGTCGTATTGACACCATCTCTCGGAGGGGGGGGATCGTACCTACACTACCATTTTACACATCACGATGCTGTACCCTGACAGAGACCAGCCAGACAGAAGAAGTGCTGTGAACAAATAGTCAAAACAGCAAAACAACAATGTACAGCTTCTGAATATATTAACATTTTTTGTTACTGTTATCCTTTATTTTCAAAACATGTTGTCCCCCCCCTTTGTAGTCAATTCACAGCCTGTTTGTTGCAGCTGTACGTGAGCAATATGGAGGTCGCGCCGCAAAGCCGGTACCGGCCGCTGCCAGGGAAGATAAAGTAGAGTATTTTCAACAAGTAATCGGTTTCTGACGACGACTGCTCATTGGCAAAAAAGAAGAGGTGTGACATATAGTGTAGTTCGCTGCGGACGGTTGGGCGTGTCAGGCGGGATGAGTTTGGCGAGGTGCCAAACCCGTGCTCCGACAGTGTTAGAGCGAGCAAGTGGTGTGACTGTACCACATCGTTCGTATTGCTCGTTTTCTACCACTTTTTTTCGCATGCGCGCTTCAACAAGAAGGCAGAGAACGGCTTTGACGGCGTGACACACTCATACTGCCTGACACGCCCAACCGTCCTGTAGTAGCTTAGACTTCGAGTACTCCTAATAGCCCCACTGAGTACATGTACAAAATCACCTTAAGTAACGCCTCCCTGGAAAGGATTACGGCTGAACTGCGAGCATACGGCTCGCTCAAGTAAGGGCCAGAGGTGCACTGGACGAGCTTCTGGCGTTTGATGCTTTTGCTACGTGAGCTGTAGGATTGGTAACTCCAGTCGTAAGGGTTCTAAGGAACTGCAAAAGAGATTGACGGTTATCGGTCCATCAGATCCATCAATTCAAGTTTGGTGTCAGTATTTGTCACCCAAGCCACTCTGCTTATCCGTCACAGTCTCTCAGGGCACATCATTATTCGGGGATTTTGGTCAAGTCCATACGATCGAGCTGTCGAGCGGAAGTGGGTACATAGCCCATGTGGAACAGGAGAAGTCGACGGAAACACAGCGATCGGGTAAAGTTTTCCCCAAGCCAACGCCGCAAATTTCTTTCAGAAGGCAAAGACGACCTCTCCTTCCCCCAGCAACGAGGAAAGACGCCCCCCCCCCTACCCCTTACAGCGTGCGTGAGTAAATAAAAAAACGAATTGTCGAAGAAAATTTTCTGGAATAGACCCCCGACCCCCCCCCCCCCATTGGAAAATCCCCAGCGATGATGTGCCCTGCTCTCTCTCTCTCTCACTTCTACGCTCACAAACGTGTAATAGTTACTGTGATGAGCGCTCGATTTTTGTGGCACACACATATATCGGATTATTTTCGGGCACACACATACACCGGATTGAACAAGGGCTAGTTCGGCTAACGCACGATCTCGGGTGCGCTGAACGTACGGAGGCACCAAGAGGTTCAAGACCGTTTATGGGAGATTAGGCCCCACGGGTACTACCAAAACCTATCCTCTCATCGTTTCCCTCCCTTGGTTTTCCTCCCTCCTAAACGACTCCCATGACTTACGTAAAAACGTTAGCAAGTCAAATTACCTGCCAAATGGTACTGGACGAATCCGCCGCTGAAGCTGTCTGCTATGTTCGTATCTCCCGTCCCTGGGACTCTTTGATGGAACCCCTCCAGGAAATGTGCCCCAGTCCCGGTCTACAGTAACTAGACACTCCAAATGATTTTTACTAATATCGCTTACAAGGAGCAGTTACAGTATCAGAAACAAAGTCACTGGCGTTCATCACACATCACGCTCCACGCAATTATCGACGATTCATTGAAAATCCTACTAGCTTAGCGGTCAGAGATGTCAACAGTATCGATAAGAGAGGAGAGGGAATGAGACGTACTCGTTCAACTGAGAGCGGGAATGAGACGTACTTGTTCAACTGAGAGCCTGATAACAGAGCTGCATCGATAGCACTGATTTTGAGAGTCGTATGAATAATTTTGCGGAAAAAAACTTATCACTGTCTTGGACACCCAGACTCAAACACAAGCAAGCCCCGACATACTCAACAACTCAGTAGAGTACAATATCAGGTCGGGGTTAAAGTTATACACCACACTTGCACTTTTTGCGATCATTACTAGTACAGTTGATATCAGCAAATCACCATCTCGTCCAAAACTATACGAGACTATTGATTCCAGAGCCTACATCTGTGGCTCCCTTCCAAGCTTCTTCTGATCGCTCGCTTTTGCCTCTGAAAGCTTCAGCGCTCGGAACAAGTGTCAGTTAGGAGAATAAAGGTGGTTCGGTAGATTCTTCGCGAATTCAGTAAATCTGTGGCGAGTGTTCTGTCTCAAGTGAGATTCGGCATGGCATGACTTATTTTTTGCGCATCAGGCGATGTGGCTCTGACAATTCTTTTAGTTGAGTATACAAGAACTGAGGGCCCTCATAGTGAATCAGTAGGCACGTCGGAGCTTTTCTTTCTGTAATAAGGCCCAGGTTCCCCGGGCCGGTTCGCCGCACGTACCTTTCTGCACGTTTGGATATATCCTACTTCACCAACGCTTCCTAGTCGATAGCATCATACCTGCCCCTTCAAACACTATCCAGACCAGTGGTAAGGAGCGTTGATCAAGAGCACATATCAGAGAAAAGCAGGGTATTAGTTGAATGCTCAAATACACGAAAGAATGTTAGTGCATCGATACTAACCTTCTTATACCGTGTATCACAGGCACCGTGATGTGTGAGGTAGTGGTATAGGTCCGACTGACACGCTCTCCCGGAGGTGGGGGGGACGGAACCTCCCCCCACCTCCGGGAGAGTGTCAGTACGACCCCCCCCCCACCTAAATGAGGGTCTCGGCACGGCACGATTCTCCCCCCGCCCCCTTCCCTGACACCTACCTACAAAATTTCCCCCGTTTTCCAGTTTTTTTTCACCCAAAAATTCTCCTTCGAGGTGAGGGAAGGGAGGAAGGGGGGGGTATATAGTGCACATGAAACAGGAAAAATCACGCAAAAAGTCAACAACCGGAAAACCAACGCGACAAATTTCTCTCAAAAGCACCCCCCCCTCCCAGAGAAAAAGTACGACCCAAGATGTGTTTTACACAAGGATGCTGTACCCTGATCACAGGAGGCGCGCCGTCGTAAGCTGGTGCTGAGCTGGTTTGTGAAGTTTTATTAAGTTTTAAGGCACTGATCGCGATGGGCGTAGGTGGGGACTCAGTGAAGATGCACTCTAGGCAGGTATTGTGGAATCTCACGAAGTTTCGCTGAAGATAGGGCTAGACTAGCGTGCCCATTTCAGCAACCGAAGGCACGTTATTTCTCCAACAAGCTGGTGGAACACCTTCCTTCCGTGCGTCAAGTGCACAGTCTGCTGCGAAGGATATGTGTTAGTATAGGCTCACTAACCCAGCGCGTGGAAAGCATGATGGGAGCTTGTCGTTCGGCCCTGTCCACACCATTTACAATGACAGACTCCCATGTACACAATCTACGCCCTCTCACCGGTTTAGAACGGTAAGACCTTTCTCCAGCTGATTCGAGATGTGTATGTGTACAATTGAACGGTGTGTAGGCCAGCTTCGAGTAAACGCAGCCGGTTCAGTGACTGACGACATCACTCTTAACTTCTATAGATCACAAGGTGGTACAAAGTCTACTGCTATGCAACTTTCCAGTCACTCACGTTCCACTACTTGTAGATCAAGTTCTTGAATGACTGCTAGTGTTGAGTCACCTAAAAGAAGTGCCTCTTATGCTGCAAAGAAGTAGAGACTGCTATACCTGACGAGATCATCAAACTTATTCAACTGAAAATCTGCCGAAGGTATGTGAAAGCAAAAGGTATACTTTGTCCGCCACATAACTGGTGAATCACTCTGCAGAATTTGTGACAAAACTATCCAATCTATATCGTGGCTATCGTGCTTGAGGGGATGACAAGTGTGAGGACGGCAGCGTAGAAACCATGCCGACTCTCTTCTGCAAGACACACGTGTTTGCCGCTATTCAGTTGAGACTCTCACCGCCGTTGAGGCCATGCTTCCTGCCACGTTCCATTCTTTCACAATCTGTCGTTTTTGGCATGAATTAAAGAACGTGTCTTTGGGTAATATTATATTTTCTGTGAAAATAGCTGCACAAAAGTGACACACGAGACACTTTCATGACTTTGGACAATCTCATAAACACTTGTTAAACATTCATCACACAGTTTATAAATCTTGGAGAACCTTCTGATTACCATAGCTGCAATCCAATTTGAAATCCGGATAGGGATTCTGACGAAACTTATGGTAATGTACCTGAAAAAGATGCAAGAATACTCGAGGGCTGAAAGGCAACTACCTCCATCTGTGGGCGTGGCTGTAGCTATTTTGTTCCAACTGTAGCCTTCACAGACGAATTTGACAATCTCTGTAATTTATCACAAGAACTGGATTTATTAGGAAGAGCCTTGAGCATGGAAGGGACTTGAACGCGCAAGTCACGCTTTTCGAAAGGAAGCGCTATCCGTTGAGCCGTTGAGGTTGCCTCTTACCCTTCTCAGCGTATATCTAACGATACGGCTGACAATACAAGTCGCATGCTCTCTCGTCTATCCCTCACCACTCGAAAAACCTCTTGAAGCATTTGAAGCGCTCGATAATAATTCGTTCAAGTTGTAGGTCAGTTTTATGACGAAGCTGGAAAGTAAGCTCACATGTGGTTGGTTTTCGTACTCCATCCAAATCCCATATGTGATTGATTTGTCCAAGATGGGTACGATTGAAAATAAGCTCGTGCATACAATCCACAACGCCATAGTCAAAGGAAGGCATCATCTGAAGGGCAATATCCATAACATGCTCAACAGAGTAGCTGCATTCCTTACTTTGTTAGCCATTAACTTCGGATGCTTAGCGAGCCAGACGAAATCCTCTACGCCAAAAACACATACCATGTGACGATAACGCTGTGAACGGCATCTCAATTTATTACCGGTGGTCCATGTGTCTATCCTGAAACGAAGCTACTCGAACTCATGTCAAACATTGCATTGTGTTATGTGATACACTTGATAAGCACGAGGTAGTAATCTTATTGGGGATGCATGCCACTGCTGCAGTTCGTAAAAAGTGGGGTTGGTTCGAAACGACTTTGCAAGTGCGAATAGACCTACAAGTGGAGAAGTAAGTGGAAGTGGCGAATGTTGTAAACCTTATACCAGATAGCCATATGAACGCTTACACACCTCACGCACACAAGCAAAGTTTCCCGCCTTTCGCGGAAAGTATTCTCCGTTTGGTAGGAGCAATTATTCTACAGAATCGCAGAAATCGCGGATAGCTGTTTGGCAGCAGCAGAGTTTTTCTTCTGCTTTATCTTCACAATCTTTTCTCGCTGGCCCTTGTCCGCTTTTTTTCTGAATGGTCGTGTTTTTTTTCTGCGCAGGCAGACGGTTCCTGTGATCGTGTACTATCACAATTGTCTAGCCCGCCCTGCCTTGAACGCGGGACCCCATGTACTTGGAGGTGATTTTCGGCAAATCTCCACCAGCGGATGATGATACCGCAAGAGCTAGTTTCGAGATTTCTGACACGTTGATGCTAGACAACGATCGCGGTTTCTGAGATGGTCGTTCCACATCTGAGTCTGAGCTGGAGTCCCCTCCAGCTGAAGTCTGCAAGAAGAGTAAAGTCAACAGAGTCAACGGCGTCAACATTGTGAAGGCCCAGTGTTCACAAACAACAACGGCAGGGTATCATTCCTTGACGAACTGCGCACTAGATTTACTGATGATGGACGCATTCGTGTGCTTTTCAATATTTAGAATTATAAGTGCAATGGGAGAAGGGTTTTAATCTCCAAAACTACTCCAGGGGCGAGAACAGTAAAGATTGCGTCCATCCTTCCAGAATTTTTTATGTACTACTAATAGCAATATGTTTATTTTTATGTTGCACTATTACGAGTTGTAGTATGTTTACTGCATTATTATCACCTGAGTCTACAGAGTTGGTGGAAATCTTATGGTAATACAGAGAATAAACTTGGATGCACCCTTGTAGTGTTACTAAATGAATATATAACAGATGGAAGAGTAGCCCTATTGCTCTCCTCAGACACCATACTGAACTGGAGTCCGCACTGTAAATGAGATTCCTCCCTCTGCCATCTACTACGACCATATTTGAAAGCACGTTTCGCGGTTGCGAGTCGTACTTAGCGAACCTCACAAACGAGGGTTAATTCCCTAGTGAAGAAAAAGAAGAAGAAAACGATAAATAAGGGAGAAAGAAATATGAAAGGCAGCTACAACTCAGAACAGATCAAGAAGGTGTGTGAAATTCTCAAGTATTTGCTTCTCATACTGAATTCATAGCTTGTATCTCTAATTAGGAATTGTGCTTCCACAAAGCTTCAGTTTTGTCCCTCACTTTTGCCTTACGCCTAGTTATTCGTAACACGCATTAGGTTTCAGCGGCACATTTATCTGTTAAACAAACATCCATTATGTCGTCAGCATATAAACGGACCTTGTTATGAAACCAGTCATTTTTCCATTTTTCACACAATCCCCAGTGAATCTTCCGGGCATATTGAGACTATCGCTCACTTGCAGCGACGGAATGAGAACCTCATCAACACCGACAACCTAAACAGATGATCCTACTCCTGTCACTATCACGCGAAGTCACAAATGAAACCATCCGTGCAAACAGTCATTGCAGAGAAAGACAAGTTTCTGGCTCAGTTGAATAGTAGGTCAGTTGCTCTTATTTCCATTGGTCCCAGCAAAGAGGGCTGTAATTGTAGCACATCCGGATAAACATACCTGGCGATCAAGTTGTTCGAATGTTTTGCTGAGATCT